ATGCAGAGACGTAAGCCAGGGCTATAAAATGCTATTCAGAACAGAGCTATGGGAGTGAAACAAATGAACCATGGACATAAACAGAATGAATCATAAGGCCGAGACAGAGTCATCAACTGGCATACTGATAAATCCACACTGCAAATCAAATAACTGGATGGATAGGTGGAATTTTTGAGGAATTATCCTAGGATGTACACAGGTACTTTGTAAGTCATTAAGGAATTGATAGAATTGATAGAAGTCTTAAAAGGCTTAAGACATTACAGTGGTATTTCACCCTTGGGGTTCCTCAGGAAAAGAAGATTGCAGGGATATAAAAGAGATGTGGGATTTCAGAGAGGTCCAGAGTAGTTGAAGTACAACAGTAAGCTTCTCCATAGAATCTCAAGTAGGAAAGTCACTTAAACATGTTTCCAATGGGAGGAGTGTGGGATCGATCCCAGCTACATTTTAGAGTATTTTAAAACAGTGACCTTTATGTAATAGCCACTGAGATGTATTAAAGGTCAAACATGGACACTACACATATAAATAAAAGCTTCCTTCTCTAACATGCCTGTAAGACTTTTGCCACATACTAAGCCACGACAGTCATGTCAAGCACATACAGCACTGTACGACAAACTATTAAATGGGAGTGTAGAAAAGAACTGAATTGACAGGAACAAAAATTTAAATTTAAGTTCAATAAAGGTTCTTGGGAATTTGATATAGTGTACTCAAGACACAGCACTACTAGTGACATACTGATATGGGAATTTTGGGCCAATGCTGATATCCAATATCTTTCATTGACATATATTTTGGACTAAACCACCTTTACTAGTGTTATTGAGAAATGTTAAAATGCAGACATTTAGCGTAGTTACCCAGCGCCGCCTAAACGTTCTGCTTTTCCCAGAATACATTAGCTCTTTTTCACAGTTTTCCCATGATTTTAGAGATTCTTCAGTCAATTATTGTTTTTTTTTTGTCTTTAATAACATTGATGGGATGTTTTTCAATGGACATGTGAATGGTTTACAAAACCATATGCTAACTGGATTTTCATTGTTGTTGATGAATATTTAGTCAGCATATATGAAAATGTTTAATTGCTAATTTTATTGTGGTAGTTATTTTTTTTTTAAATTGTCAGTTTTAACCATCTTTGTGGAGAAGTGTGAGTAAATTGTTTTCAGTGAACTGTTTTCTAACTGTTCCCCTTTCACTCCTTATTGCTCACTAGCAGCTCAACACAGTCATAACATTTTACACACACAGAGCCAACAGTGTCCTATTTAATCTGCTAACTAAATTATGGGGAATTTTTTTTATTTGATCATATGAAATCTATTTTTTTTAGATATCTACTGATACCTATATGATTTCAAGTAGGGGTGGGCGATATGGCAAAAATATATCATTGCAATACTTCAAGACATTTTCACAATACACTTCACAATCACTTTTTTTCTTTTTTTTTTTCTGAAGTTTGACAAGTGGGGACAGACAAAAAAGACCCAGTAGTGCCACATTTAAAAAATATTATCAAAATCTATGAGTGCAATGATTTTTATTCAATTTATCAGATAAATCACTGAACGCAATCCAGTTTAAATAATTGTACTCTCTTTGTAATTTTGTAATATGATATCATTTATCAAAGTAATAATATATTTTGTTATATCACCCACCATTAATTCTGATATCATTGTGCATCCCTAAAAGCAACTAACAAACGTCAAGAAGACTATACAAGTTAAATAATTAAAACAGAGACAAGATTTTGTAGAGAGAACACCATAACAATCTATCTAATGTTGTTTGTCATTTAATGTTTCATTTATTTTCTATCACTGTTGGCCATAGACCAGCACATGAACACCCACAGTGAACAGAATTTAGCCACAGCCCAGTAATTTACATTTTCCTATGAATGCCCATACAAATTATATTCACTAAGAATACTCAGGCACGCACAGCACATTTCACTGTCCTATGTACGCAAATGCTTTTTCTATCAAGAGTATCAAAAGTTCTTTCAAATTTAAATACATGACCACTGGGACTCTTGACCGACATCGCATTCCCACAAGCGAACAGATTGCCCATGCAGCTGCGTAGCGGGATGAATCCGAGAGAAGGTGCTTTCTTTCTAAAGCGCACTTAATGAGGTCCCTTTTGGCCTGGTCCTTTCTTAAGCAGAGTACCTGGGACCTCTGTACCAAAGGAGGACTCGAGAAAAATGGTGGCCTTTTAACAATATGGAAATGTGGCCCTGCTATCAGTGAGGAATCCCAGACGTCAAATACTTCTGTAATAGCTCAGGCCAACAGAACCGCACAATCTTCTTGCAGCCAGTGGCGGTCCTTTTTCGAGAGCCGTTTCATAAGGCTGGCTCATTCTGCAGGGATGTGGGCTTCTGTGGTGGAGGAGAGAGCGTGAGGGAGACTGAGAAACAAGCGAAAGGGGTAAGACGAGTGTGTTTGATTGGGCAGCCTTTCAGAGCCCACAAGGCTCATCATATTTCCCTGCGAAGAAAAACAAAGCATCTGCACCCAGACATCACAATCAGGTCCAGCCAGCTCGCCTGTCCAAAAGAGCATTCTTTCCTTCAGAGAGGCTGCTGCAGAGTCCATCTCAAAACCAAACACAGCACCTACACTCAGAAGATCCTCCTCTCTCACGCATGTGAACCACATACCTGTCTGACTCACATTATTCCCATCCAAGCACTTTATGGTCCTAAAAATAAAGGTTCTTCAGTGGTTCTTGGCCTGAACGTAGCTTGGCAAAAACCTTTAACTGATTCAGAACTTCATATTTTGTGGAGGCTCTTTGAACTTTAAGCTCCTACAAAATTGGTAAATAACCACCTATTCAAAGGTTCTTTAAAGAACCAAAAGTGGTTCTTCTATGGCAAAAAGCCTGTTTTTTAAAGAGTTTACAGCATACAGAGCTTAAGAGTATGTAACAAATTCTGTGAAAAATTCTGACTACACAAGACAGGGGCAACTTCAAACTCCCTAAAAACCACTGGCAGGTCCAGACGTTCATCCTTCATTCCTATATTTTAATAACTCACTGTAATAGAATTTTGCATTGTTTTCCACACTGTCACTTAATAATAAGCCTAACAATGTGGATATGCAAAGAAGCTGAAGAGATTAAAGCTAGAAATGGCATGATACCAGTTTTTTCTTTTCTGATAAAAATGCTGAAATTGAATTCTTCAGCATCAGCCAATACTGATACCAGTAAGGATACCCATGCTAGGGCCCACATCCTCCATTTTTCTTTTATATTATGAAGATTCTTTGATTTTATTTACCAACAACAGTCATAATTCATGTTTACATGACTATCTTCTAACCTTTCCTGATCACAGGCTGTTTTTGTTACTGTACCTTTAAGATTGATATATGTAAATGACCTCTGTTCTGACTGGCTGCTTTGTATTGTACCTCAATCAAAAACTGAAACACTATTTATAACTTCAGGGAAAATTGGTCACACTAAACTACAAAAGGCTGAATAGATGGACATACGTAAACATATGTGTCGTAAATGTAAATGTGTTTCTTTCTGTGACATCACAAAAACAATTAATTCAAAACCGGCTGTTTTGCAGGTACTGTACAGAACTGGGACGTGAACGATACATTCTGAGACTTTAAGAGTGTTTATATTACTCTTTTTTTTCAGAAAGTAAGAAAAATACAGTTTTCAATTATATGGGCCCTTTCAAATGAGCTACTTTTAAGTGAATCAGTTAAGGTAAGCATCTAAAAGTAGACCACATTTGAACCCCCCACCCACCCACGCCCTTATATCCAGCTCAGTGTTTTGCTAATATTGGCCCAATGCCGCAATACCTGGTACTGGATCAGTGCCTCTAGTTAAAGCCGAATGTGCACCCTCGGAAAAGCTAATCATTTAAAGATGTTTTTTACTAAATGCAATTACTTGTTGGACTATCTTGCGGCATAACCTGTGTAGCCTGACTGAGGTTCAGTTATATAGTTAGCTAATACATAAATGGTTGCATACATGATTACGCATATGTACACCCACTGCAGGCAACACGTAAATATGTATCATGCTTGTATGTAATATGGTAAACACTGACCTTACTTCTGTGGTCAGTGAAAGTCAGTGACACCACACAGCAGGTGCCTAAAAGAAAGCCCTCTACAAATTACAACAAAGCAGCTGTGCTTAAGTGATTCATACACAGCCCCACTGACCTCCCCCCCCTCTTTCTCTCTCAACCAAGCAGGTACAGCATGCAGAGCTTAAGGGTAAGCAGCTAATTCAGTTGGGGTAAGAAATGGCTTTGACTTATTCAAAGTGACCACTGTAATCACCTGTTCAAGAGCCTGCAAACACACAGTAAGCAACAGAGCTCATCAGCATGACACTAACAAATGAGGAGATTCATGAAGTGCCACAGACAGATGCCGAGTTGGCCGGCTAATGAGCTGTAATGACCGCCCTCAGCTTGTCTGTCAAAAATTTGCATGCAGCATTATTAGAGCAGTCAGGGAGCTATCGTACCAGGTAAAAGTCATCAAATCTGAAGCGCACATCTATATCTCTGGCTTATTCCTCACTGCGATAAGCATGCCTAAAGCATCGCCTCATTGAAAACTGTCACATTCATTATCAGCTATGGCTAAAGCCACAAATGACTCGCTTCTATTCGTTTCCATCCAGGAATGACAGAATATGGTGAAATTACGGAGCACGTTATTTGAGTGGACATTCAGAACTAGAACATTTTCAGGTGAATGCGACTGCTTTGGAAGCTCATTTCAAATGAGTAAAAAAAAGGAAAAAAACTTTATATGTACGCGAGAGCATGTACTACTTTCACATTCTCAAACACTTGGTCGGGAGCAGCACCAGCTGTGCTTCCTACCTTCACAGGTGTGCGCTCTGGCACACACGTCACGCCCCTGCCCTCCGCGTCAGGTGACGGACTTACACTGTTTGGGTTTGGAATGAAAGGATATGGATTGCAGACCATTTTCAGACACCAACTCCTCGGACGTGTGGTTTGCTTCAGATAGAAAAACACAACCGGTGCCAGTGATGGGTAGGGTAAAGCCTCTCCGCCGCTGGCTGACGCCGCCTCCTCCGCCACCGTGCCGGCTGCACTCTCCCTCCTCTCTGCTCCTTCGTCGGCCTCATCGTCGTTGCGCTCCCCGCCGCCGGACAGGTCGTTGAGTCGGATAAAAGTCCGAGGAAGAGAGGACCTGCCCTCTGCTTCCCTGCCTCTGTGGTCCTCACAAATATTTCCTCCATCCTCAGCCATCATTCACCTCCTACAGGGGGAAGAGAATAATAAATAAAAGAAATGCAGGCAGACAGAATAAAGCAAAGGACTTCTCTTATCAGAAAGGTAGATAATTAAATAAATAGACAAATAAACAAACATTCAGGATCAAAAAATGAACAAAAATAAGGCTTCTTTGCAAAATACAAGCCATTTTTTTCACCCCAAATTGATTTTTCGAACGAAATAAGGTTATTCTGCACACTGTCTTGCTGTAGTCTTAATGTTATGTGTAACTACGACGTTAATACGACTTTTACGACACATTATTATTGAACGTATATTATTATGAGCTGTTATTGTGCGCGTTTTTCGCTGCGAAAGGCGGCCAATTAAACAGTCATTATTCTAACAGACAGGAAGGAATGAAGCGGCGCTGAGGAGGAAAACAGTGGCTCAATTAAACAAAGGCATTTAGAGCAGCGCCGATGAAAAAGTACAGTAGATCTGCCAAATCGAATACGAGCATATGAGGCTGCAGGAAAGCCCAGAAGTTATCAGCAGTGAGCACATGCCAGCAGTCGGTCAGCTATACAATATGCGCCTATGAATATGTTAAAAAGTGCTATTGTCCCCCTTACCTGTAATTGCTTCTGCTAATAAGCCCAAACGGAACTCACTCATCGCATGATCATTTGTGGAGGCAGGAAAAGTAGCCCAGGTTCTGCTCAGCGAGAAAGTGAAGCTCTAGGCTGAGTTTACAGTATGATCAGCCTGACGGGCATGGCAGCCCCAGCGCAGCGCAGCTCAGCTCAGCTCAGCTCAGTTCAGCCGTGCCTGCACACGATGCCTTAAAGATGATGGGCTTCCCTCAGCTTTCCTGTCGATGAGCGTGGACCAGGCGAGAGCAACTCCCCCGAAACTGGAGGACACAGTATGAGGGCAACTAAGTAGTTTTGTTCTGCTAAAACATCGCTGCTCTACCACACCAAACTATCCACTACACTGACAGTTAGCCACATTTCTAATTATGTCTTTTTTCTCTCTCTCAGCGTGCAGGTATCGTTTTCTCTAGGCTACACATGACAAAGTCTCAGCACGGAGAGAAGCGAGTGGGTTGTTTCCACGCAGAAGTGCTGTCCGTTTAAAAAAAAATCTGTCTCCCACTTCCAGTCGGCAAAAGACGCTCTACAGCACGAAACCGCTCATCCACACCAACTCACAGCTGGATTTGGGTTCAGTTTACAAGCCCCACCCCCTCGTCAGCGCCTCTGCCAATCAAGCGCTGGGAAAAGTGCACCCGCCTTGCTATTGGCCGGAGCGCGTGCCACTCCACGGCTCGACTAGCAGAGGTCTTGAGAAACAGCTGGAGCAGTATTGTTTACTGTTAGCCAATAAAAAACTGGGAATTCTTTGGGATCGGACCAAACCCACTTTTATGATTGGACCATGTTTATTATGCAAGGGGTTTTGTTAAGGAACAGGGAAGGGATCTGAACACGTGTCTGGAGGGAGCAAAGTGCTGTCACCTCACTGTTTACACACTCAGGGATGGTGTGAAATAAGTGCAGTTCAGCTGAGTGTTCTTAATAAACAGTTAGTTTATAGGCCCATCCAACTACAGTCAGCGATGTAGGTAAAGGCACCTATGCGTTTGTGTGTCTAAGCACTGAGAACCAAACTGTCCTCATTTTTTTTTTTAAGTGTCTAGTATGTATGGGTGTTTAAACTTTTTGGCAAAGTGCAATGTTTAGGGTGGGCAAAGGATCAAAAAGACAAAACAGCATACAAGTGAGGAAGGCAGGTGGGCTTTTAAAAATGCATCTTATACATTTTCACTATATTTGGTTACTAGGATACTTCAAGAATACAATTTTACAAGGATAAGAGTTAATAAATTATATAGCATGAACATGTATTTGTGGGGTTAGGGTGGGCCAAATAAAACATCCCTCCCAACTCCCACTTTGGGCAGTCCTCATGAAAACATTGTTGCAGTTTCAAAACATACCATTTATTTCCCAGTCCATTCAGTCCATATATAGATATGAAGATTTGAAAACAGCCCGTTTTGAATACATTGCCTTTGTGATGTCACAAAAACCATACATCAACATAGGGCAGTTTTATTATGAAGTTATATGGAGGGTTTCAACATGAAACAGTCCATTTTTTAATTCATTGGCTTTGTGATGTCACAAAAATCATACATATACATAGTTTCATACACAAACATAGTTTCATGACAAAGCTGTTGAAGTTCTATGGAGTGTTTCAAAATGAAACGGCTCATTTTGAATTCATTGGCTTTGTGATGTCACAAAAATCGTACATCAACATTGGGCAGTTTTATGTTGAAGTTATACAGAGTGTTTTAACATGGACTGCTTTTTAGAATGAGGCACGATAAAGGGCAGAAAGGGGTCAGTTTTATATATATATTCCTTTGGCACATAGGTAACAATCAGAATGCCTGTAGTATGTAATGTCAAGTATTACTTGACAGAGAAAGTTCCAACATCTACTGTAATGACTCACATAATGACTCAAAAAGTGAAAACTCACTGTTTGGAATGGTATTCGATACAGTCAAGCAGTCTGGGCTCTTCAGTCACCCAAGCAAAAATATGTAGTGACAGCGCTCACCTCACCATGGCAACATGGGCCGCAAGAGAGAGGTAAGCTCCCAAAACTAGAGAGAAATTCACATATCTGAGGAGACAGGGCCTAAGCTCCACCCCGCTACACATTCCACAAGCAGTAAAATGTAACAACTTGTAATACTGAAGCTGACACCTTAACACTGCATCCACAGACACTTTTAGAGCACACGATCCTTACTGAAAACTGTGACGAACAAATAGAGCTCCATTTTTCCCTTCATGCATCATTGCACCACTGTGTTGAAACGTACAAGTTCACTGAGCATGTCAGCCTGTACCCACCAGCAGAAGAGCACCAGCCCGCTGAGGCTTTACCACACTGCCCCCTGTGGTGAAAAATGGTAGAACAGTGCAAGAATAGGACAAATAATATAAATGATCCATATATTGATAGACAGAAGGAGAAGGGGCATGGGTGAAAATTATCATCATCAGTTCATCAGCAGAAGAGAAGGAAAACCCTCAAAATGATTTAAAAAACATTTTTGTGATGTCACATACATACATGTGATGCACTGTAAAACAATGAAATCCTAACTGAATACAACTGCAAACTCCAGAAGCAAAACTGTCTAAACTGTCTGAAACATTGTCCTCAAGCATTCTTCACATTGCCAGCATTATACTCAAACTGTGAAAAGTGAAATTAATCTGCGTTAAAATTATCTATGAATTAATGTGACTCCAAAGCCTGATGGCAATTTGGTTATTAATCACTTACAGCACCCTCAACAAAAAGACACCTAATGAATTAGGCTAATGCAGTCATCATTTTCACATTTTCATTATTCTTTATGAATGTTGATTTGAACGGAAGGAATTAGAATAATAATGCAAATCACTTCATCACTCGTGAACTTCTTTGCTGTTGGTTACCCAATAAGTTAATAGGCAGAATAGGCAGGAAATGACACACTGATCATTCAAATGATGAGAAAAAGCCACTGGCTTAAAGGACCCATGTCTGGGAAAACTGATATTGAAATAGAAGTTTTTTTTTTTTATGTAGTCTGTAACAGTTGTTAAAGTTTCAGAATGTATCATTCACTCCCAAGTCCATACAGCCTATCTGTCTACATATCTACGGAAACCAAGCTGCAAAACAGCACATTTAAAATTCATTGTTTTTGTGATGTCACATATATTTTAACACATTTACATATTTCTACCTACACAGCCTACATCAGTATAGCTCCACTCATTCATGCCGAAATTCTTAGGAGTGTTTCATAACAGACTGCATTTCAAATGTGGCATGATGCAGGACAGCCAATCAGAACCGAGGCCATTTACATAAATCAGTGTTAAAGGCACAGTAACAAAAACAGATGATGAATTATGACTTTATTGGTACATAAAAGCACAGAAACATACAGAAGTCCAGAGGCCATGAGCTGTTGCTATAATTTTCTAGATTGTTATCCTGAGGTAACAAGATAAGCAACTCGTTATTTCAAGATAACAATATTGTTATCTTCAGATAATAAGATAAATAACTCATTATCTCAAGATAACAACTTTGTTATCTTGAGATCACAAGATGATTAACTTGTTAAGAGAACAACTTTTGTTATCTCGAGGTAACAAGATAAGTAACTTATTTCAAGATAATTTTATCTTGAGATCACAAGATAATTAACTGGTTATTTTAAGATAACAATTTTGTTATCTTGAGATAACAATATAATTAACTCGTTATCTCAGAATAAAAATTCAGAAAATTATAACCACCTCATGGCCTCTCTGGACTTCCAAAGAAACATTATGAATGGGCTCATTTAAAATGCATCTTTAAAATGTATTTTTAATAAAAAAATTTGTAAAGTGAAATTATTTAAACTCAAAATACAAGAAAACATAGGCCCTTAAATTTTGTGCAAACTTGTATAGCTGCATTATAGAGGTATTAGTCCATAAAACAATCTTCCAGAAATATTTCACTTCCAAACCTCAAGATAAAGATTCTTCTTACTACCAAATCACTAAAGTCAATACAAATCTACCATGGCCAGTGTTACATAGCTGTGATAAGACCATTGAAAAACACAGCCATTTCAACATATCCACACCATCTGTGTTCACAGAGGGTTAGACTGATGGTGTCTGCAATCTGCATCATTTGCTAAAAGATGAGCTACATTGTAGTCAACCAATGCATTAAATCAATACTGGCGCAAATTACATCTCTTATTCCAGTTCACAAATGCTTGTCCTGTTTTTATGGTTGGCTGTTTATCGACATTTTAATGCGGGTGAAATGTGTTTTCTTGCTGTTAGTGGAACAACTAACCATTAGATTCTCCTCAAGCCACTGAACTCTAACAGAGGTGCTTATCCAATTACATAATTTAAAGGGAGGGGGTATCTTTGGATTAGGAGCTTTAGTCTCTAGCTCAAGACTCCAGCCTCATAGCCAGAGAGCCTTTGGGCAGTCTTGGGGAGCCACTGATTAGCGTAACATGCTACACACAGCTGCAGTGCAAGACATTCCCAGAAAAGAGCAGATAAGAGCATTACTACCCGCTCCCCTGGAAGCGATATCTTTAGGTCACTTGGTGTGGCATTTGGTCACACAGCAGGCCGCATGGCATTGAATGCAGTTAGTCAAAGAACACTGCAGAAACTAGAAAAGACTTACTTTAAAGGGCTTTTATCATGGAAGATCAAACTATTTTGAAACAAAAGTTGGTGTAGTATGTTAACGGAGTTACAGTTTGAAAACATAGCATTCACTCCCCAGTCCATAAAGTCCACATAGGAAAACTAAGCTGTAAAAACAATCCATTTTGAATTCACCATCTTTATGATGTCACAAAAAACAATGCATTTACATATATCTGTCTATTCAGCCTATAGCAGTTAGCTCCGCCCATTCACACTGAAATTATAAGGAGTGTTTCAGCCCAGACTGCTTTTTAAACAGGGCATTATATGCCAATCTGAACAGAGGTCATTTACACATACCAGTCGTAAAGGCCATATGTAAAAGATATTATTTATTAGCCTATTTAATTTTAAGGGATAAAAAAGGATGGAAAATGATAATGTAAAAATCAATCATGACAGTTTTTGAATTAAGTGGACTTTAGGAAAAGTGTAGGATATGGACCCTTTAACATTTCCTTGTTTTTTTTTTTTATAATAAAATAGTCTGATGTAATACATAAACATTGTTAAAAGCTTCATTCCCCAGTTGGAAACCCCTTGTTTATCCCTAATACTTTGGTAATGCAGAGTCCTAATATGTAAGATGTGATCTCATAACAAGCATGTCTGGGGACAACCATGAAAACATTTGGGCTAAATATAGGTGGGAACAAACTGAGTGTGATACCAATCCAATACATAGTGATGCCGGTGTTCAAAGTAGGGGGTGATGGTGCGCTCATCAACATTGTCTGACAGACTACAAGACTGTTATTATTCCATGGGTGTAACATAAGTTAGCATGGCTAAAAACTCTAAAACTCTAGAAACAATTAAGAATGTAGATGTGTGTCGCGTGTGTGGAGAGCATGTTACATGCAGTAAAAATAAACATTACATCCTGCCAGGGAAAAACAGTTCCGTTC